TATTTTATTATTACTGTTATTATTTGTAAATTAATCTTCAATCCTGCTCTGTTACTGCTTAATGTCATTTCATAATACGTACGCATCTTGCAAAAATATGCAATAGCAATAAAAATAATAATAACAAATAATAACGATAAAAATAATAAAAAAAAAATTAAAATAGCAACAACAATAACATTACTAATACCCTTTTCCAATTAAAACTAAACTAACGTTACTACTACTACTACCACTACCACTACTACTATTACTACTACTACTACTACTACTACTACTACTACTACTATACTACTACTACTACTACTACTACTACTACTACTACTACTACTACTACTACTACAACTACTATTATAATTACTACTACGACTACCACCACTACTACTATTACTACTACTACTACAACTACTACTAAAACTTCTACTCCTACTACTACTAGTACTACTACTACTTCTACTACTACAAATAATAATAATATTATTATTATTATTCGTACTAAAAGTACTACAAAAATCCTTATTATTACAATTACTAATACTACAATTCATAAAGTTAATCAAAATAAGTATAGATGTATATAACAACAACAACCAACAACAACAACAACAACAACAACCAACAACAACAACAACAACGACAAAAACAACAACAACGACAACAACAACGACAATAATTGTTGTATAATTATATTTTTTTATTTCTCGTTGCTGCTGAGATATGCTTCTTGCTGTTTCAATACTTGCTTCAAACTCTCGCTGATGATGATGATGATTGATATTATTATATTATTATTATTATTAGTATTAAAAACAACTACAACAACTACAGCAACAACAACATTAATAATAATAGGAACAATCTTTTATCGACCAAAATGGTAAAATCAAGATGAAATCAATCGAAAATTATTAATATAATAATAATAATAATAATAATAATAATAGTAATAATAATAATAATAAGAACGATCATCATAACTACGGCTCACCTTCTTAATAGAATTCTACTCATTTGACTAACAACAACGTCATCATTGTAAGCATCGTCATCATCAGTCGCGTAATTATTACCATAATTATGATTATAATTATCGTAATTATTACCATAATTATAATTATTATCGTCATAATTTAGATAATAATTATCGCCATAATTATCGTCATCGTCGTCAACATTGTCCATAGAGTCCAAAGATTGGACGTCATCTCGGTCGTCCGGCTCGAAATCTAGAGAGTGATGACGTTTATAGCGATGATGATGATGATGATAATAATAATAATAATAATAATAATAATAATAATAATAATGATGATGATAATAATGATAATAATAATGATAATGATGATGGGAACATCTTTTATTTTTCACCATAAAAAACATAAAATGATAAAAAAATATATATATATATATTTATATAAGTTAATGTTAATTAAATAATGCGCAATGATAAAATTTGTAAAAATTGATGATGATAATAATAATAATAATAATGATAATAACAGCGTTAATAACAATAATAATAGTCGTAATAACAATAATATGAATAAAAATACAATAACAATAATAATAATTATTATTGATATCATTATGAAAATGACCTTTGAATCCGAAGTCATTCTCCGCAAGTTCAAACCCTCGTCTCCGACTGCTATCCGCCAGTGCCGTTTCGCCGTTTGCTTTGGCGCTAAAATATAAATCCTGATAATGATGATAGAATAATTATTATTATTATTATTATTATTTGTTTTATTTACTTCTACGACTACTACGGCTACTGCTACTATAACTACTACTACTACTACTACTACTGCTGCTGCTTCTACTATTACCACCACTACTAATACTACTTCTGCTACTACTACTACTACTGCTGCTACTACTACTACTACAACTACTACTGCTGCTGCTACTACTACTACTACTACAACTGCTGCTACTACCACAGCCTAAGTTAGATCTTTGGTCGTCCAAGTGCAAATCAAAATTGGCCGCCCTATCCTTCAAAATTTAGGCTCATTTTTTAGAAAAATTATCCGCTTTAAATAATGATAATAATATTAGTAATAATAATAATAATAATAATAAACATAATTATAATTATTATTGTTACAACTATTTAATTTTTATTTTTCTTTTACCATAAATAAGTCTTTCTGTTGGAGATCTAAAGCTAGTAGGTAGCATTTTTCGTACAATTTGAATCTGTTGCGTGATTGATTGATTGAATGAATGAATGGATGATCGATTGAATAAATAAATGAATGATTGATCAAGTGAATGAATGAATGAATGATTGATCGATTGGATGAATGAATGATTGATCGATTGATTGAATGAGTGATGATTGATCGATTGGATGAATGAATGATCGCTTTAATGAATGTTTGAATGAACAAATAATTGAACGGTCGAATAATTTAAAATAAATGAATAAATAAATGATTGATTGAAAAGTCTGTGGATTGATGAATAAATAAATGATTGATTGAATAAATAAATAAATGATTGATTGATCGATCGATCAATTGACTGTGATCAATTCATCATAATAACTGTCATCATCATCGTCATTCTTATAACCTCAGTAAAAATCGAAAAAATTTTCTTGCCAAATCGTTCATTGGCTTGCCATATTCAATGGCCACGAATTCCGGAATTTTATTGGCTGGCGAGTAAAACTTGCTCAAACATGATTGGACAAGAGCTTTTTCGTCGGTGTGACATTATTTTTATTATTATTGTTATTATTATTATTATTATCATCATCATCAAAATAAATTTGATGGTGATAATGATGATGATTTTAAATGTTGAGAAGAAGATGAGGATTTATTAATTTTTTATTCACTCATTACGCCACCTCACTCAATCACTCACCGATGACGTCATCATTAACAGATGATGAACTGAGTAGATGATGGATGAATGATGACAGGCAGTAGTACATTGATGATGGTTCGAAGGACCAATCCAGCGAGTGAATGAGTTCCAGAGCCTGTGGTGGTGATAATGATGACGACTGTGGTGATGATGATGGTGATGATTGTGATGATGATGATTGTGATGATGATAATGAATATGACGATTGTTGTGGTGATGATGATAATAATGATGATGATAATGAATATGACGATTGTTGTGGTGATGATGATAATGATGATGATGATAATGACGGTGATGCTGATGATGATTGTTGTGGTGATGACGACTATATCAACAAGACTATTATTATTAATAATAAAACAACAACAACATCATCAACAACAACAGCAACAACAACAACAACATCATCAACAACAACAACAACATCAACAACAACAACAACATTAACAACAACAACAAAAACAACAACAACAACAACTTCGTTGATCATCCCACATCGAATGTAGTTGTTGAAAATCTGCCTGGAATCATTATCATGACCGAGAATTCCTTTCGAGATCATCACCATCACCACTGGGCCGCTGTGATTGTGGTGAACAATATTACAAAAAATAACCATCACAATCATCGCCACTGATGATGATACTAGATCATCATCATCAACGCCAACATCGTCTTCTTCTTCTTCATCATCTTTTCCTTTTACTTCTTCTTCTTCTTCATCATCTTTTTCCTCTTCTTCTTTTTTATGTTATGGGCGGCGTGATGGTCTAATGGTTAAAGTCGCTTGGTGCTGTTTCGCAGTAACCGGGTTCGAATATGACAAAAAGATCCCCGCCTATCACGTGCTTCTTGTGTGATGCGTCGTTTATCACGGAGTCATTCATATACGATGTTTGTGCGCTTTGAACTCTGAACTTTAGAAAAGTGTAATTGACCTTTAACCTTTTCATCTTCTTTTTCTTCTTCTTGTTCTTCTTCATCTTCCATATTTCCATCAGTATCCAATCCATATATTCATCAGTATCCATTACCATATATTCATTATCGACTAAGTCACCACAAAAAATCATGGCCATCATCATCATTATCATCGTCATCATCATCATCGTCATCATCATCGCCACCAACTTTTCCATTGCTAGAACAGCCGCATCAACAAATTCTGAAATTTTGTTTTGTTGTTGAGGATGTTTAGTGTTTAGCTCGAAAGAGGACATGTTAGCAGATCTGTGGTGGTAATAATGGTGTTGATGACGACGATGATGCTGCGACTAATTCAGCTAATGATTATAGGATGATGATGTTGATTATGATGATGATAACAGATGATGATGATGGTGGTGTTATTAATTATATTAATTAATTGTGATGATACTATTTTGACAGTTTGTAATGGTGTTTATGATAATGATGCTACTACCTACTACTACTACCACTACTACTTCTACTACAAGAATTACTACTACTACCACTACTACTACTACTACTACTACTACTACTAAGAACAACAACAATAATAATAATATAAATAATAATTAATGATTTACTTAGGTAATACTGATGATGGTAGCGTTAAACGCTCCATATTCGCTCCATTGAATAAGACTTGTAATGTGTTCAGTGCAATGTCGTAAAACTGAAAATAAATAAATGAATAATAATAATAACAAATTATATCATTAATTTTTTAATTGCTTTGATAAGAATTGAAAAAAAATTCACTATTCTTTCATTAATAATATCATATTAACGAACGATTTATCAATACGTTTTTCAGTTGTCTCAACTTGATTTAATTTCAATTTTGTCTAAATCATGATTTAATTTCATTTTGTCTGAATTATGATTTAATTTCGTTTTGCTTCAGCAGCACTGGACAGACTTTTCAGAAGCAGATCAGGAACATCAAGTCATGAAACTTACGGCAGTGTACAAGACTAATGTAACATCCGACCTCCCAAGGTAGGTTCTTACCTCTTCAGATCATGCGCCAAAACATTCATCCGAAAAGCAAAGAATCCGGAAAATGTCTTAAACTGCATTATGAACTCAGAACTAAATACCGGCTTCTCTGGTGTAGCCATCTTCTACTGTCTCTTTCTGACTTTACCAGTGACACCTGCTAGTTACGAAGAAATGTTTTCAAAGATGAAATTAAGACAAAAATACCTTTGCTCATCAATGGGTCAAATAGGCTCACAGATTGAAGCTTTTTAAGTAAGAAAAAATATCGATTTTCAGAGATTGACCGTGCCGAAGTTATAAACTGATTTGCCGATACAAAAAACACGGAAGCATGTATTCAATTGTAACTACACCAAATGGAACTGTTGGCAACGATTGCTCGGCTTAATTTAACAAACTAAATAAACAAACTATTTCAGTCGTAATTTTGTTTATAATCAAAATGTTTCAAGCCAAAACTGTCACGTAAATAAAAATTAAACACATGCACACACAACAAACACACACACACACACACACACAACACACACACACACTCGCTTAATTTTCTCTCTCAGGGTCTCACTTTAATTCTTTGAACCTGGACCCCTCAGAATCTACCTACGCCACTGACCCCTACCACCATCATCGTCGTCATCATTGTCGTCATCGTCGTCGTCATCATCATCATCATCACAACCTGCATATCTCCATTCCCGCTGACGGCGATGATGATGCTATTGTTGGAATACCATCTCACTGAACTTATCAGCTGATGATGACGATGAAGATGACGATGATGATATTGATGATGACGACGACGATGATGATGATTGAGACGATGGTGATGATGATCATGACGATTGTTTAATGATGACGACGATTGTGATGATGACCGTGATAAAGTAGGAAATGTTGTTGCTTATGATGATGATGACGATGATGATGATGATGATAACGATAATGATGACGATGACTTAGATAACGATTGTTGCTAATAGAGTAATATAAAATGAAGATAATTTAATTTAATTTAAGATAATTTAAAAATATGAACAATTAATCTAAACTGATCATCAAAATTTACATCATCACAGTTGCCATCATCTTTATCCTCAGGCTAAACATAACCACCATTATCATCATCATCATCATTTTCACTATCATTATCATCACCATCATTATAATAATCATAATCATCATCATTATCATCATCATCATCATCACCACGAACCAGAGAACTTTTACTGCTTCTAACAACACCCCCGTTAATGTTAATGAGGAAGATTTCTGAATTCTTATTGGCCAGGCATATTCTATTTTCGTCAGTCGACCAATCACAGCAAAGCAGGTCAGCTGATTAACATTCATGAAGAATTTTTTGATATAAGGAAAAAAATTAATGAGTGATAAATGGAAGAATGAATGAATGAATGATTGATTAATGAATGAATGAATGATTGAATGAATCAATGAAGAAAAGAATGAGTGTTCAAAAGCATTAGTGAATGAAATTTGAATGAATAAAATAAATGACTGACAGACAGACTGACTGAATAATTAACTAAATGAATAAATGAATGAATGACTGACTGAATAATTAACTAAATGAATAAATGAATGAATGACTGACTGAATAATTAACTAAATGAATAAATGAATGAATGACTGACTGAATAATTAACTAAATGAATGAATGACTGACTGAATAATTAACTAAATGAATAAATGAATGAATGACTGACTGAATAATTAACTAAATGAATGAATGACTGACTGAATAATTAACTAAATGAATAAATGAATGAATGACTGACTGAATAATTAACTAAATGAATAAATGAATGAATGACTGACTGAATAATTAACTAAATGAATAAATGAATGAATGACTGACTGAATAATTAACTAAATGAATAAATGAATGAATGACTGACTGAATAATTAACTAAATGAATAAATGAATGAATGACTGACTGACTAGACGAATGAAGTCATGAATGATTTGATATATTAATTATTGAAAAGGACAAATTTATAAAAAGCGATTGATTGAGTGAGTGATCGTTGAACGAATGAATGAATGAACGAACGAATGAATGAATGAATGAATGAATAAATAAACAAAAGAATGAGTGCACGAACGAATGAATGAACAAGAAATATATGAAAACTGTTATCTATAATCACCATTAGTATTGATTGCAAGTGCCAGGGTCTTGTTAATCTGAAGTTAATAGATGAATTACAAACATAAGAAACGCAAATAATAGTTAAATGCAGTCCTTCAAAAATAATATGTAATTACTACTACTACTACTACTACTACTACTACTACTACTACTACTACTACTGCTACTACTACTATTATTGCTACTACTGCTACTACTACTACTACTACTACTACTACTACTACTGCTACTACTACTATTATTGCTACTACTGCTACTACTGCTACTACTACTACTACTACTAATAATAATAATAATAACAATAATTCACTTTGGCCTGTTGGAAGTTGTACTTGCAAACATGTGACTGAGAGGAGGTGGATTCAACTGCAAGCAGGGTGTCCGAACTGAAGAAACTAAAAATGAATTAAAGAATGAATGAATGTTTGAGTGTATTAACTAATAAATGAGTGAATAGATGTTTGAGGATTAGATAGATGTTTGAGGATGAATAGATGTTTAATGAATGAAGGAATGAATGAATGAATGAATGAATGAATGAATGAATGTAGGAATGAACGACCGCACGAATTCGTTTGAACAAACAATTCATTCAAAATTCATTCATTCGCTCAATTGTTTATGCATTAATTCATCCATCACTTGATTCATTAATTCATCCATCACTTGATTCATTCATTCATTAATTCATCCATCCACTATCACCTAAACTTTATGGCAACAAGGTTTTTGTTGGTTTTCATGGAGGCCACAGGCTCTAAACCTGTACTGGAGAAATCACCATCACTACTATCATCATCATCATCATCATTATTATTTATTATTATTTTTATTATTATTATCATCATCATCACCACCAACCTTCCAGGAAAATAAATTTGGACAGTTCCCGCCGCGTTCCATGCCAAAATCTGAATGAATGAATGAATGAATGAATGAATAAATGACAAATCAATAAATAAATGTATAAATGATGAAGAAATGAAATGAACGAATGATCTAACTTTTGAATCATACAAACAATGTGAGTGAACGAACTAGTAAATAAATTAATTTGTTAATAAATAAATAAATAAAATAATTAATTAAATAATTAATAATTTTTATAATGAACGAGTGAAAACATAAATGAATAAACGAAAGAATGAAAAAATAAACGAGCGAATGAATGAAGAATGAAAGAAAAAAACATAAAAGAATAAACCGACCAAATTGTTCGGACAGTTGGCTGATAGATTCATCTGAGGTCGGTCGACTGTTGTTATATACCTCTGCGTGTCATCATCGTCGTCATCACCACCACCATCATCACCACTAATATCATCATCATCGTCGTCGTCATCATCATCATCATCATCATCATCGTCGTCGTCGTCATCATGATCATCATCATCGTCATCATCATGATCATCATCATCGTCGTCATCATCATGATCATGATCATCATCATCATCACCACCTGTAGAAATGATGAGAAAAGTGAGTTTGGTTTTACTTTCCCGCCATTCTTCCTCATCATTCTTATCATCTTATCCTCATCAATCCTTGCCGATGATAACGATAGCATCTCTATCACGCTGACGTCATTGTAAGATAGGACGAGGAAATTTGGCGCCACTACCACTGATGATGATGATGATGATGGTGGTGGTGATAGTCATGATGTTGATGGTGAGAATTATGATGATGATGATGGTGTTGATGATGGCAGTTATGATGTTGATGGTGAGAATTATGATGATGATGATGGTGTTGATGATGGCAGTTATGATGTTGATGGTGAGAATTATGATGATGATGATGGTGGTGGTGAGAATTATGGTTATGATGATGTTGATGATGAGAATTCTGATGATGATGATGATGATGATGGTGGTGGTGGTGGTTTTTGTGATGAAAATACCGACAGAGACAAGAGCGATGGTGGCCGTGAAAATGATTATTTCGTTCAATCAATTATTCATTCATTCGTTGGTTTTTTCATCAATCAATCATTTCATTCATCCATTCATTTATTTCTTCTCATACACACTATCATTCATCCGACCATTCATTTATTTAATCACTCACTCACTCACTCACTCACTCACTCACTCACTCACTCACTCACTCACTCACTCACTCACTCACTCACTCACTCACTCACTCACTCACTCACTCACTCACTCACTCACTCACTCACTCACTCACTCACTCACTCACTCACTCACTCACTCACTCACCATCATAGACAGACGTAGATGATGATAACTTTGTGTTAGAACTGAGTGAAAAATCTTTGGTCAGTGCTATGATATCACCACTGCACTGGTCAATCAGCATGGTCAGAATGGTCAGGTTGTCCGTGTATATCTGAGTTTTGGGATTTTTTTTGGTACACTTTTTGACGTTATCATGAATTGTGAATGGATGGGTGGATGAATGAATGAATGAGTAAATGGATGAATGGATAGATGGATGAATGGATGGATAGATAGATGAATTTTATGAATGGACAAAAGTATGAATGAATGTTTTAAACATGGAAAAATGGGTGGGTTGATGGGTGACCAATGGATTGATGAATGGAATAATTGATAAATAAATGAATGGAAGAAAGAATGAATGAATGAAAAAATGAATGAATGAAAAGATAAATGGGTAGATAAATGAATGAATAAAGAAACAAATCAATCAATCAACCAACCAACCAACCAACCAACCAACCAACCAATTAACCAACCAACCAATCAACCAACCAACCAATCAACCAACCAACCAACCAATCAACCAACCAACCAACCAATCAACTAACTTCTAAAATATTCCTAGCCAGCCAAAGAGCTTTTATAATTTTTGTCCCTCGGAAAAGTAACTGCAGAATGTAAAAAGAAGTTACAACTCTTATAATAATAAAATGGAAATATACAATAATCATCGTCATCATCATCGTCATCATCATCATCATCGTCAACATCATCGTCATCATCATCATCATCATCATCGTCATCATCTTCGTCGTCACCTCCATATTTTGGAGTTGCGAATTCAAATTGTTCAACCATTTAGTCTCAGGCTTGCATAACATTCCTCTACCTATAACATTGAAAAAAAGCAACAATAATAAAAAATATAATAATAAATAATTTTAATAATAACTATAATACCTAAATAATTATTATAACTATAACTAGAGTAATAGTTATTATTATGGTTGTTATATTATGTTGTTTGTTATGCAGTGAAGTTATATATTTACTTTCATCAAATTGAATTTTCTCTTCGACATAACTCTTTCCTAAAAATAAATATAATATTTCAGATACATAGATACACGTACAAACACACGTACACACGCACGCACACACATACACAAACACATACACAAACACATACATACATATATACATTACACACACACACACACACACACACACACACACACACAGCACACACACACACAAATACTCAAGTATACATAAAGCACATACATCAACACATACACACACACACATACACACACATACAAACTACACAAATACATAAGTATACATAAAGCACATACACACGCACACATACAAACTTTTATATTTCTTTGTAGTATCATAATACTTATGAATTGATGTACAATTATCATCAATAACTATCTCATTATTTGCAGTACAAATGCGAATATCAACTGATAAACTAGCCATTTTATTTGCAATATAAATATAACATAATTATAATATAACAATATTAATATATAATATAATTATAATATATTTAAAAATTGTAACATATTTTATTAACTAAATGTAAATATTCAATCAAATATTCAAAATTAATTAACCAACTAATTAATTGATATTTAACTTTATTAAAAAATACACAATCAATCATTTATATATAATAATTTATACTATTACAATTCGTAATAATAACAAAAATATTTTTATTAATATTATTTACACATATATACTTTCACATATACACACCTCACTTACATAAACATCTGTCCATTAGATCGATACACGTTGCTAAGCAGAGGTGAGCATAGACAGAAGTAAACGCATGTTGACATGGGCGAAAATTTAGGTTTATTTGTTTTTAGGTCTTTGGTATTATATTTAATGAATGATTAAATGGATGAATGAAATGATAGATTGAAAGAATGAATGAATAAATGAATGATCAAATGAATGAGAGATCAAAAATGATTGAGCGATGATGAATGAATGAATAAATGAATGAATGAATGAAAGAAAAAAGAGCGAGCGAACGAACGAACGAACAAACGAATAAACGAATGAATAAACGAATGAATAAATGAGGGAGTTAATAGGTTAACTAAATTAAAAAAAAGAGTTGCTGAACAAATCTTCGTCATCGCCGTTGTCATCAAAGGAACCAAAAAAAATTTAAATCAGAAAATCGTTAACAACAAATAAAAAATATTTAAATACAACTATTATTACAACTATAAAGACATTTACATCACCAAACACACACACAACTTACAAACACACTAACATACAAATAAATACATACATATACGAATATTGATGCTTCTAACGATACAGGTATACTGACAAACATAAAAAGACATAAACATATAACACAAACATACAATCCTAAAATACAAAAACATACAATACAAGCATACAATACACAAAACATACAATATAGACATACAATACAAACAATACATAAAACATACAATACAAGCATTACAACAAACTTGTCTTTATTATCCTTGCAAAAGCTAATTTTGTAAGAATAGCGAATCTTTTTTTAAACGTAAGAATTTATTTTTAATGCACTAATTTAGAGTCATTATTATTATTATTATTATTATTATCATTATTCTCATTATTATCATTATTTTCTTTAATGAGTACAAATATATAAGTGAATAAATATCCCTCTAAGCCAAGCGCATTATATATATATATAAGCGTTATATATATAGCGTTATATATACCCCTGCATATATATAAATTCGTGTATGTTTGTTTGGTTATTTATTTAGTTTTAATAATAACATTAATCTGAATTTTTATTATGAATTTTCGCCATTTCAATCACTTTACCATGTTCATCGTCATCATTTTTATGATAATGATTGATGTCAGTCAACAGTATGGGGATATTACCGATAAAAAATTCACTCCAGCCTACAGTTACATGGTTGTTAAGAATGGTAGAGCCCCAGTTTGCTACGATGACAGGATGCCGATCGTCCTAAATATCCGGGCCAAATCCAAAATTGGATGCGTCGTTAAATGCTCGGTTAATTTGGAAAAAAATTGGAATAATTTTTTTTATATAGCTGAATTAAATTAGCTTAAATCTTTTATTCAAAATGTATTATAAGTTTTATAATAGATAACATAATCTTGAGTCATTTCTACAGCCTAAAAAGAACGTTTGAACTCAACTTTCCACAAACACACAAATTTCAAATAGGCTTATGTGCGAAAACAAGGCATCGTCCAGTAATTCGCGACCTGTAATGGTTCAGACGAAAACTCTACCGCTACGCCAACAACTTTTTAATACGCACTTGTTATTTCATTGCAATTGCTTGTAACTGTTACTTTAGTTTATTTCAAATGAAAAATTTTTTTAGACCAAAACAAACAACAGTTTAAGAGGAGTGAATTACGTACAAACCACTGGATCATGTTCATGTGTTCCCAAGGCAAACATCCGTTACAATGTTACTGCTGTTGGTTCGATGGCTGCTAGTGCTGGTTGCAGGGGCTATTTCATACATGGTTTGTTGCGTATGTGTGTATGCGTGTGCGCGTGTATGTGTTTGTTTGTGTGTGTGTTTTTGTATGTGTCTAACACTTAAAATCGCTTTTTGTAGCTAAAGTTTTGAACAAAGTAAAGTTTTCGATATTCAATTGTTGATGGAATCTTGCAACTAAGCAGACTGCCCAGAAAATTTTGATTACGTGATAGAGCAGCACAAATGCTACAAGATGCAGTATGAACATCAGAACTGGTATGATGGAAGGTTCACATGCAACAGCATCTCCCTTTCCCATCCAATCACCATCGACGATGATGTGGAAAATGGTGTTTCCCTGCAATACGTCAACTACACCACTCCAAGTACGTTCATATCGGCAATTTTGTCGTTTGTGATTTTTAGTTTGTAGCTCAAACGATAGGAATGTCGTCCGTGTCCCGTCTAGCTGTTTTTTCGAACTGACCCGTTTCAAATGTTGTCTCGCCAAATTTCAAATATATCCTATGTTACATGCGTGTGGTGCATAAACTGAAGGCATATACAAATTTATCATCTAATCTAAATTTTTTGTATATAATTAATATCTGTAATTTTAAATTGGATAAGTTATTAATTGAGTTGAATAAGTTATTTTATTTTTATTTCAATAAGATCTCCAGGTGTGCCCTGTTGTCAATATTAATTATGCATATGGATTTTTCACCAGCGGGATTCGAACCTACGTCAACGGAGTGAGGACACCTTTTCTCTGGATGCCCTATCCAGGTTATTTATCTGTGCCCTTTTAATCAACATTCCACAAAGACACTCTGCGGTGTGCAAGTACCTGTACACGAACACGTGCAATCGAAAACGTACATACGACCACAACACATCAGACAAACAATCTACCACTACCTTGGTCATTAATAATAAAACTAAAAGCCACAAAACTAAACAATTCCACGCCACATAGCCATCAACATCTCCTTATCAGGCGTCAACAAAACAGTCCAAAGCACGGCAGCCTGGCACACGGGAGAACCAAACTCTTTACACGATAACACAGATTACTGCATACAAAACATTCTTTACGGTTACTTTGGATGGGATGATCAAAACTGTGCTTTCAACCAGTGCGTTCTCTGCGAATTTGATATGTCGGTGTGATTATAAAGGTATGATGGAAAGAATTAATTGGAAGGAAAAGAAGCAGTCGTATTTTATTTGCTTGTTCATTGTAGGTTGATGTTGATTGATGGGCAGGAATTTGGTGATTTGCAACTTTCTAGTTTTACTTTCGTTTCCGTCTTTTTATTATTTTCTTTTTTGTTGTTTCAGTGAGTAAGGATGGTCCACTGTGTTGTAGGTGGCTCGTTAATTTTGGAGATGCGGTTGTCATTGCAATGTTCGTTTGTTGGTTGCAGCCATCAGTTTGGCATTTATATCCGTAGATGATTTTTTTTGTTGTAGAGTAGAGTAGAGAGATGTTTTATAGTATTTAGTGCTAATTTTTGCCATTTCATAAAAAATATTCTAACATTTTTACGTTCTGTTTGTTTTATATGTTGTTACTTAAATGTTTAATGCACTATTGATTTTGTATAACAGCTTCACATAGCTTGCTACACAATATACGAACTGTTCAGTGGCAGATCTCGAGTTATTGCGCTAGGGCTGATTTTTAAAATCATTATAGTGACGACCTGTATTTTTTGCCAATCTCCGTTTCGGTGGCAGAATGTTTTTCAAAATGTTGAGTTGATGAACTTTTTTTAATGAAAAGATTCTTCGATATTATTGATTTTTATAGTCTGGCGGGGAAATCCCCTACCCCCCCCCCTCCTTGACCCGCCCCTGTAAATGTTTCATTGTAGTTTTTTGCTTGTTTGCTATTGTTTAGTTAAGTAGATTATATTATTTATTGGGCATTTTCATTAGGACTGCAAAGGAATGAAATTCGGCCATTATCCCGAAACTTGGATGGACATCTGATTTGGCGGATTTTGGTTATAATATTGTATAAGTAATTTTGTTGACATAGTGCACTTAGAATATACCATTCATTGCTAAAAACGCACCTTATTTCGTTTATTGATAAACAAAATTGGTAAAAAAAATCATTCCATCTTGTTTGATGCTTGGTATAACCGTCTGCTGAGGTGGTGTAATGATTAAGGCGCTTGATCCTGCAGCTACTGCGTCGTATTTACTTGGGTGTGTAATGTGTATTGTTGACACCTCTGAGAATGATCTATAAAACAATTGATAATTATTGATTGATTGATTTGTTTTTATTGATTTTATTTATTCAAAATTCACAAATCGCAAGTTGCAAAATAAGAAATGGAAGCGTAGATTCTTACATGAGCCACCGTGAAAAACAGAAAGTCAATACTACAAGTCTTTGAAAATAATTACAAGGCGTAAGTGTAATTTTTAAATATAATATAGATATTTTACCAAAGTTAATTAAAACAAAGTCGAACAGACAGTTAAGGAGGTTCATAAAATTTTATGAAAGTTTCATATATAAATTAAGATATCAATAACTACAATTTTATTATAATGTTCAAAGTCCGCCATTTTAAAGGCTTCAAAATTTTCTAACACAAATTGTTTAAAAATATTTTCCTCTCACCCGACCACAAGAATATATTAATGACAAATTAATGTTATTTCACGGTGTTTTGGCATTTAAAAAAATAACGAAACCGAAAAAATTATCGAATATTTATTAAAATAAATTTATGCAAAATTTTGTAATTTTATATGTTTTAGAATGAAATATATAATGGTAAAAATGAAAAAAGTATCGCGAATTAATTGTAATTATTAAACAATTTGGTTTCATCTATCTTTTGAATTCATTTTAAAAAATATTCAATGACGATGAGCACCCTTTTGCTTGGAAACTATTTTCATCTCTAGAGATATAGAAGTTGAAAGAAAGTTATTCTTCATCCATTGGTTCTAGAGTTTTTTTTAGTAAAATTAAATTTTGTTCATTGATTATTGATTATATGAATTTATTATTTTTGCGCATGGAACCGACATATCCACGACTGTAGAATCGCGCGTAGTTAGAAAAGGTTTTTTTGGTCTCCAACAACAGCCACAGCCTATATAAGCTCTTTTCAGTATTTTTAAAGTTTTAAGCGATGAACACAGGCAACATGTAACTATAAGTGATTCAACGAATTACAAGCATTGCATGAGACGGGCGGAGATCTCTTGGCAATCGACCCAGGTTACTGAAACAGTAGTGCCAGTTCTGTAGCTTAAACTAATTTTTATAAAGAACTTAAAAGTACTAATCGTCAACTAACTGAATATTTGATACATGATGTAAAACAAATATAAAAACATAAATAAATGTTTATGCGATTAGATTTGAAGAATGGGAATCATGCCAACGTATTTTAGTATATACGGATAAACTACAAATACAATTTTAAACATTCAAATGTTCCGTCGTTTGAGATGATATAGTCTAATATTTAAAAAGATTTTTTTTTAGAACTTTTTCGTAATAATATTCCTAAGGCAAGGCAAGAAAACTAATATTTTTTATAAAACAGAAAATTTTTTTTAGTGAGTATACTAAAATACGTTGTTACATTCATCGAGATGTTTTTTAAACCTCTTTTTTCAAATCATTTAAACTAAACTAGCGCCGGAGGTTTTTATAACATGCTGAATCGTAGTTTCAATTTGGAACTTCAAGCACTTCCATTTCAACAAACACACACACACACACACACACACACACACACACACACACACACACACACACACACACACACACACACACACACACACACACACACACACACACACACACAAATCACTAAGGAAGTCCATAGCAAATCTCGAGACACATCTGTTTGTAGAATTCGTAGAGGATTGCTGTTGAACATGGCAGGAATGGCACATTAGAAACTCCTGATTGATTAATTGATTGATTGAATAGTGCGCATGTTTGCCTGTTATAATAGCCCAATTATATTATAATTATGTGATCATATACGTGATATATGATTACACGATAATAATGTATGATGTAATCATATATGTGATATACACACAATACACAATACACAATTACACAATACTGATGTACAATGTAATCATATATCATATATTCATAATCATATTATAACACAATTATAATTATATTATGATATTATTCTATATATTAATAGATATATGGATAGCCCCAAACAAATTTTCGTTGCCGAATTTGTTGCCAACGTCACCGGCTAATCGACGTTTCAGTTTTAAAAAATTTCTCAAACTCAGCAAGAAGGTTTCCTATCTCTAGTTGTCTCAATTAACTGAGTTAGTAATTTTCTGAATTAGTGAAAGTTTGAATTAATAGCTAAATAAAAATGAAATCTCTCTTTTGATTTATTTTATTGTCTTTGCAGGGTTCTTGTGGTTTTTTTTAATAAGACAAAAATATAAAATAAAATAAATTTTAAAAGTAAATGGTTAACGGTTGTTAACGTTAATCTAAACTACTAAATTCTAAATAAATGTGATTGGAAATATAATTTATTATAAATATAATTTATAATTTATATTTATGTCATAAAGTCACATACATAAATTAAGTAAGGACAACAGTGCTAAGTTTTAAAATTTAATTTAAAAGTTTATTTAACATTTTAACAATAAATAAACAACTGATTTGATTTGGGGTAGCTTCTTCACTTCCTTCAACCAACCAACGTTTATTTTTTTTTCTGGTTTTTCTTTCCTCATTTTGAAAACATACAAATTCATTTTTTCTACTTAAGTAAATGAATTCCAGCCACAAAAAACAAAGCTGGATCAATTTTCAAAAAACTGAGCAATTATGTGGATGCTGATTAATTAAGAATTTAAGTTTTAGAAGACATTGCATTAGGATTAGATTATCATTAAGATTAAGCATTGGTGCATTGCATTATGATTATGGCTATAAAATATGTCTAAAATTCCCTACAAAGTTTTGCCATTTGTTTTTTCTTCACAATTTTCTCTTTAGTAATTTTTAGAAGTATCATGATTGATATTATTAGCTATTAGCAGCATAACAGCACACACAAGTTGGCCACATTTATTATATTAAATTATATAGGATTTAATTATTAAATCCCAAAAAACATTCATGAACTTGGGCTAAATAATTTCCCCCATGTTTCATTATAGTTGGGGTGACAAAAATCTTTTAGAACCATCCTAGTTTTACATACATGCTTCTGCCATTTATAGATTTTAGTTTATTTAAGTAATTTAAGCAACATAAAATAGTTGTTGATAATTGTATGTCTGTGTATATGTAAAAAGTATATATGTATGTTTTGTAATTTTTGTTAGTATGCATACATTTTTGAGTAGTGTTGTTTAAGCTTTAGGAAAGAGATCTGATTGATGATTCTGTTTCTTATTTCAATTTTCTGAGAAGATTTGCACAATTGGACTAATTAAATAAAAAAGCAGTTTAGATTTTCAATTGTTACTTGATCAAGAAAAAAAATTTACCTAATTTTGAAGACGTTCAAAATATTTTATATTTTAAAAGTATCCCGAATGTAATCTTGTTGCAAACATGTCGAGTCGAACGGAACCAGTCTTGAAGAGGAAGAGGTTGAATCCAGCGGTCTGTGGTGGCATCACCGATTCCTTCAAGACCACTGAGGACTGTTATTCTTGGTCTGTTGTGTGTGTGTGTGCTGTTGTTGTTGTTGCATTTTCACCATGCTTGTTGCTGCATTGTTGCATTTTGGCTATGTTTGTTGTTGCAATGTTGCATTTTGGCCATGTTTGTTGCGTGTTGTTGTTGCATTTCCGCCATGCTTGTTGGGTTGCTGTTGAATACCATGTAGTGTGGTTTTTTAAAGGTTTTTTATTCACTGCTGCAATTTTATGCTGCCTTGTTGTACAATTATTTTTATCTTTTTAATCTTTTGAATCTTTTATATTCTATTGTCCTTAAACTAATGTCACAAATTGTGTCAGCTGTTCTTTGTCTGATTCAATTTATTTACTTAATAGACTAATTAATTAGAGTTTTAATAGATATAGTATCAGTAACAATTGACAAAATGATTGCCACAACAACAACAACAACAACAACGACAACAACAACAACAACAATGAGGGAATTAATAACGAAATTATTTTTCTTTAATTTTTTAAAATTAAAATTTAATTTTACTCTCACCGCCATCACAAATCTACACCAGCCCCATCTGCTTCAACATACTTGATGAGCCCTACATGACTAAGTGTGGACACAGTTTCTGGTCAGTTGATGGTCCACCTAATTAATTAATTAATTAATTAATTAATTAATTAATTAATTAATTAATTAATTAGTCTATTAATAGTCTATTAATAGATTAATTTAAGATATTTAAAGACATAATTATATTCTTGTATTGCCTTACACACGCAAACACGCACAAACACACGCATACACACACACACACGCGCGCACGCACAAACACTCACACACACACACACACACGTACACACACATGATTACTTAACAGTTATAGGTGCATTGGTCACTCTCTGGAGAATGACAATAGGTGCCCAAAGTGTGGATTCATCATCGCCAGGAAAGAGGAAATCTTCCCTAACTTCCTGCGTGAGTTTGAAGTGCGGTGGTCTGTGATGGTGAGGATGAAGAAGAAGATGATGGTGATGATGATGATGATAATGATAATAATGATTATAATAATGATGATATTATTGGTAGGAAAGATGATAATGATGATGGTGATATTGATAATAAAGATGATGGTGATAATGGTGATATTGATAACAAAGATAAGGATGATTATGATGATGATGCTGATATAGAAGATGATAAAGAGGATGATGATGATGATGATGTTGGCATAAGAGATTTAACACTGGTTATGATGGTGGTGTAGACATTTTGGAATATGAAAATAATGATGATGAAAATGATGATTTTTGTGGTGGTGATGATTGTTGTAATGATGATGATGACGATTGTTCTAATGATGATGATGATGATGACGATTGCTTTAATGATGATGATGATGGTGGCTGTGGTGATGATGATAATGATGATGATGGCTGTGGTGACGATGATAATGATGATGATGAAAAGTTTTTGAATATCTGATTTCATTGATTCGCTCTCAATTTCGTTATCTCATGATATCTCATATTATCTCATGTTATCCCATGTTATTGCATGATGATATCTTTTGTCACATCCCATGTTATCCCATGTGACATCCCATGTGACATCCCATGTTATCCCATGTTAAGTGGCAGAGATGGTTTGCAAACGCAAGTTGGAGCTGGAGAGGTCGAAAAAGTTGAAGACGTCGTTTGCTGTTAGTCTGTCTTTTTTTTATCAGTCATCATCATCATCTATCATGATCATCATGATCATGATCATGATCATCATCATCATCATCACTTCCAGCCCCACACCCCGCCGGACTTCGACCTTGACACTATGGACCTAGACAGGGTGAATGACCTGTTGAACTCCTTGTACGATAGGAGGCAACAGTTACAGCAGGTAGGTGATGAGGATGATGATGATGATAACGATGGTGATGATGATGATTATGATATGGTGGTGATGATGATGATTATGATGTGATGATGATGATGTGGTGATGATGATGATCATGATAACGATGATGATGATGATTATGATGATGATGATGACGATTATGATGTGATGATGATGATGATGTGGTGGTGATGATGATGATGATGATGATGACAGCAACAAAGGAAGGATAGCAATGAACTACTTAGAGAGTTTTTGGAAAAAGCACTTGCTCAGAAGCAGAAAGTAAGTGGGATGTTGATGATGAAGATGATGATGATGATGTTTTTGTTGATGATGTTTTTGTGATGAT